CGATTTTCAAAATGCAAATGATCTGTTTATTTTCAAAGAATAGTTTGTTTTGTTATTGTTTGGTTGGTGTCTTATATGAAACTGCGACATTGCGCAATTTATTGGACAGACTTGTTTAAGATCACACAGCGTAATTTGGGTGGCATTTTATTTCGTATTTTTAAATCATCTTTTTATTTTTGACTATCTGTAAATGTAGTTTCCTGCTCTTAATTGTGAATGCATACTTGATCGTTTTAAATGCTCCTGAAATTAAGTGCTGCTTGACGAGCCTATACAGTATTGTGTTCATAATATGTGACGTCACTGAAGGCCTAAGTTTGAAATGCACGGCCCGCCACTGTTCAACGCCCATATTAAACAAAGTTTACAAAAGCAAACACTGCTAAAATCTTGCTCTTACGGAAAAGGATTCATAGATGAAATTATATAACACAACTGTGCTCATAGATTAAGAAAGCAACAATTTGTTAAAAACATTTCGATTTTACCAATGAAATGAGTCTCACTCATTACCTGCTAGAGATTATCACTCAAGTCTACATGGACAAGCCAAGCCCAGTCTGCTGTTCCAATCCATCAGCCGTGCATACCCTGGCAGGATACAATCTACAGTATTTGGCTGAAACGCTTGGTTTGCAATTATTAATAGCAGATTATCCCCGCTTTCATTTTTCTTCACAACGCAACCAGTTAGCCCAAAAGCAATTCCCTAAACAAGAGCACTAATACGTACAGCCCTCTCCCAAGAGGGAAACATTTAGTTAGGTGCAAAAACAATGAGTGGACAAAAATAGCTTCATAGATGAAATTGGGTAACCTTTTCTGTCATATACATGTATCAAATGAAGAGTCAACCTTAAATACAGCTAAGGTTAGCATGCCTTTCAGATGACCGCAGATGCAGCGTCTGAACATGTCAAACTGAAATTTTAACTGTCCTACACAAGGACTGCTAAATGCATAAACTGGATCGGTATTAGGTGAGACAGAGTATGAATTATTACATTCTAATACTGTATATATACCATATCCAGTATACACACAAAGCTCACAATGGTTGATACTATTCATTAAAATATGCATTGTATGTAGAAGGCTGCACACAAACAAATGAAAGGATTACAAACCAAAACAAGGACATACTTTCCTTGGCGGAGGTGCATGTAAGTGTCTAAACTCACCTTCTAATACTCGCAGGTCCACTCGTCCTGAGGGATGCAGTGTTTCTTTTGTCGAGTTTGCTGTGCCAGAGTTATTCAGGGTGTTGGATTTGCACTATAAAGTAACACAGAGCAGTAATGGTCAGTTTAATTCCAGCCATCAAAAAAATCCTACGGAGTGCACAGTTTAGGCCAACTTTGCCGCCTCATGTTGCATCTGGCCAACGCCACATGCGAACGGAATTAAATTACCAAATTGGAAAATTAAACATAGCAAGCAAAATCATTGACAGTCCATAATTCTCAGGTTACCCTGGTGACGACATGGCCAAAATCCTACTTGGTTTTCAAGATGTTTGGAGTGCATTTACAACACATGGCTGTGTCAAAGTAAAAACTATTTCCTGTAAACAGTCATCGTCTAGCAACATGACCGTGTTATTTATTGTATTGTACCAAATTCAAAATATGGAACGCACATTGCAGATAATTTCTGTTTGCCAAAGAGTTACAAGTTAGACATGGATCTTCCAAAGGATTTGTCAGTTTTCAAAAGAAAACAGACATCGACAATAAAATTACATTTCATACATACCTGAGGTAGGACACTGTTGGATGACTGGATACATGTGTTTTCATCTGAGGAGACAGAAGGCACAAGAGTAACCATATGGATGGATTAAGGATAAACCGATTCTGCTTTTGTGAGTGTTAAGTGCTGTGTGAAAGTGATGTATAATGGAGACATTGAGCAATACATCTGACAGGCTCTTGATTCATCTTTCTGCTAATTAAAGGACAATGTCTATGCAGCTGTGATGATAAGGTGGATTTATTAAATCGAAACTCATCCATTCCCTTTCTTGCCACCTTAAGGGGAAAAATGCAAAATGTTCATCTTTTTGGGAAATGACCGAGGTTTCTATTAAAAGGAAACGGTCCTAAATTAATCCGATGTAATATAATTAAGTATAATGCTCTTCAGTTGAGGATAGTTTTCTTGACATTTAGGCTCCCCTGATTATTGAGAAAGGATCTTCACTGATGCTGCATCATGTTTGGACTTCACCCGTTGGTTATATGAATTTATTATGACAGCTCATAATATGTGCGAAGATGACTATGCATGTTTGTCAAGGAACATTATATCACATGATCACCTTTATGAAATTGGGACTCTTGGCTTGGTGGTGGGACTTTGGTTTGAGCAGTCAGTAACAACTCGTATGTGTGGTCCTCCTCCTCCACAGCAGTCTCTCCTCGCTCATCAATACTGCTATTCGTAAAGACAGCCTATGCAGAGCATAGAAAGTCATTTGAGATGAACTTGACAATTTATTGTAAATAGCTACCAAAACAGCTTTATAGAAAAAAAAAAAGAAAAAAAAACAGGGAGAGAGAGAGAGAGAGAGAGAGAGAGAGAGAGAGAGAGAGAGAGAGAGAGAGAGAGAGAGAGGTAGAGATATGTGTTGGGTGCGAGAGAGACAGAGAGATGCAAACACAACAGTAATTACAGGGAGGAGGAGAGACAAATCC